TCATTCGTTGATGCGAATGTTTAATGCGTTCATTGAGCGTTTTCAATTGTTTGACTTGCCAGTAGTGGGTGCTAAATTTACTTGGTCAAATAGTTGTACTCATAATCTGATTATGTCTAAGTTTGACCGATTTTTAGTGACTCAGGATTGGATGGAAGCATTTCCTTTGGTTGTTGTCAAAGCACTGCCTAGGTTTTCATCTAATCACACCCCTCTTCTTCTCAATACTACTTTTAATAAAAAGGAAAAAAATCCTTTCTGTCTAGAGCTCTGTTGGTTGGATGAACCGGGTGTTGTTGATCTTATTAAGTCCACCTGGATGAATTCTGTTAGCTTTGGGTCAGTGGACTTCATTCTCCATAAGAAACTCCTCAATGTGAAACATAAGTTGTTGGCTTAGAAAACTGAGAACTGGTCTTCGGTTAAGACTAAAATTGATCAAGTGTTGTCCAATATCCAAAGTTGGGATCAAGGTATCCAACAAGTAAGGCTCATTTCTAAGGCTAATATGGTGGAGAGAAGTATGTTGTTGTCCACTTTGGAATATCTGAATAGAGTAAAGGAGATGTATTGGAAACAGAGATCCAGGGTGAGATGGCTGAAAAAAGGCAATCGCAATACTAAGTTCTTTCATGCCATTGCTAGTGCTCATCGGAAACAGAATGATTTGTCTGGTCTGGTGATTCCTGGTGTTACTGAAGATGAACACTCTGGGTGGGAGGAGGGTATTATTACTCATTTTCTTAAAGCCTTCTCTACTGAAATTCCTTTTAAACCCAAGTTGGACGGCTTAGCCTTTTCTTCTCTTCCCCCTTCTGTTGCTAATAATTTGCATAGAGATGTTTATATGGATGAACTTAAACTTGCCGTTTTAAAACTTCTAGGAGATAAAGCCCCTGGCCCTAATGGCTTCCCTTTTTCTTTTTTCTAGCGGTTCAGGCACCTGGTTAAGGGAGAGCTGTTGGATATGATTAGGGAGTTCATGGAGACGAGGAAATTTTTTAAGGGAGTTAGTGCTACTTTCATAGCCTTAATCCCTAAGAGATCTGCTATCTCATCTCTTTCGGATATCAGGCATATCAGTCTCCTTACCAGCCTCTATAAAATTGTAGCGAAAATGTTTGCTGAAAGGTTGAAAGTGGTTCTCCTTATGATCATATCTGATATGCAATCAACTTTTATCCAAAATAGGTTAATTTTAGGCAGCATGCTTATTGCCCAAGAATGCATCCATTCTAGACTTTTGAGAAGTGAATCGGGTATTGTAATTAAATTGGATATAGAAAAAGCCTACGACAGAGTTGAATGGTGTATTCTATTAGAAGTCATGAAACATATGGGTTTTGGTCCTAAATGGAGGAGATGGATTTTTGGTTGCCCTTCCACAGCTAACTTTTCAGTTCTTATTATTGGGAGCCCTAAAGGTTTCTTCAGGGCCTCTCAAAGCCTCAAGCAGGGGGACACTTTATCACCTTTTCTATTCACGCTCTATGTCGAATGCTTTAGTAAGATGATCTGTAACATTGTAAATAGCAGGTATTTTTTCGGTTTCTTAATCTCTCATAATGCTCCACGTATTTCTCATCTTCAATATGCAGACGATACGTGGTTGTTTTGTGATGGGATGGGAGATCAAATCGAGACAATTAAAACTTTCTTGATTTGTTGTGAGGTTTTACTAGGCCTTAAGGTCAACTTTTCTAAAACGGCATTGATTGGTGTCAATTGTGATGAGGGGTTGGTAAATGATTTAGCATTGAGGCTTGGATGTAGGGTGGATAAATTTCCCTTCACGTACCTAAGCGTTCCTATTTCTGTTGGGACAATACCTATTTCTGCATGGGATAATGTCCTACAGATAGTTCAAATCAAGCTTGTTCTTTAGAAGCCTAAACATCTCTCTTTAGGAGGCAGAGTTACCTTTTTGAATTTCTGTCCTACAAATCTTCCTATTTATCAGATGTTTATGTTGCGAATGCCTAGGGCTGTTTATAAAGCATATTGAAGTGTTGATGCACAACTTTCTATGGGGTTCTCTTGGGGTTGAGAGGAAATTTCACCTTATTCATTGGGAGACAGTGTGTACTCCTAAATGTGAAGGTGGTATAGGTGTGAGGAGACTTTTGTTGATGATTGATGCTCTGTTATGTAAATGGTGGTGGCAAAGTCTCTTGAATAAAGATCAACTTTGGTACATAGTGCTCTTATCAAAGTATGGCGTAGATGGTTTTGGTATTTGGATTAAAAGATGAGTGGGTAGGGATAGTACATCTTCATTGTGGAGAGATATCTACACACTCAAGCAAGTAGTAGATTGCAATGTCCGTTGGATCCCGGGGTGCGGGCAATGCGGTGTCTTTTTGGCACCATAAATGGCAGGGTGACGAACCACTTAAATATATTTTTCCTCTTCTTTTTGGTAAAGTCAGCTGCTCCCAGGCTACGATTGCTCATTTGGTGGATTTTAGCGGCGATAAGGTAAGTTGGAATATAAGCTTTCCTTATGATAGAATTCAGAATCCTCTTTTTCTACAACTTATCAATTTGCTTGAAATATTAGAGCAATATTTTATTAGGGAGCATAGTGAGGACGAAGTCGTATGGGCAGTTGAGAATGGTGGACATTTTTCGGTCAAGTCTGTTTATCGCTTACTCTTCTTTGATAGAGTACGCTGGTCTTTTCCAGTGTTAGCCAGAATTTGGTAGTGGCCCATCCCTCATAAGGTGCAAGTGTTATTATGACTCGCGGCTAAAGACAAGATCCTCATTGTAGATAATTTGATCTAAAAGAGGCAAAATTATCACAAATATCTATTTGATGTGTAAGGAAGATGGTGAGTCTGTGGCGCATCTTTTTTTACATTGCTCCAAGATTTGGCCCTGGTGCTTCCAAATGTTGGAGTTTAACCTGACTATGCTACAACATGTGGATTTGCTAACTCAATTTGAGGTGACTTTGCCAAAGGTTGGTGGTTCTATATGGAGGATCTTGCAAGGTGTTATTTTATGGGAAATCTGGTTGGAGAGAAACCGTAGAACTTTTGATAGGAAGATTTGTTGCTTTGATAGGGTTCTTAATAATATCAAACTCACTCTTTGGTTTTGGCTGCATGTTCCTAAGGAAGGTCGGGATATCTCTAAGATGGATGTCATGATTAACCTCCTCAACCTGTTTCAGTTGGAAGTTCATTTGTTTAGACCGGTCACTAGATGGAAACCACTAGACATTAGTGTACTCAAGCTTAACTTTGATGGAAGCTCGATGGGAAATCCACGATTGGCTGGTTATGGAGGAGCCATTCGGGATTGATAAGGAAATGTCATTATTGCTTATGCAAAGCCATGCGGAGTTGCGACGGCTAATCATGCAGAACTTATAGGGTTTTATTGTTGAAGAGGATTCGCTAATTGTGATTAAATGGTGTAAGAGAGAACGCCTTCCATGGCAACTCAAGTTCCTTGGGAACCATGGAATCTCAAGTTACTTGGGAACCAAATCTTGACTGATTCCTTGACCAAAAAGGGAGTTGAGTTGGACATGTTGATGATTTCTACTAATATCCTCGACATCTTGTAATTTTCTATGCTATCTTGTAATTTTCTCGGCTATCAATAGATTTGGAACATTCAAAAAAGAAAGGTTGCAAATAAACGTGAACACATGCCACATTGTTAGAATGGACATATTCTTAAAGATAATTTAGGGTAAGCTCCCTTAAACGAGAGGGTCTAAAGATGTCGATAGAGGGAGGCCAACTTTCCAGGAGTTGATTGATTCCAAAATTTGAAGGACAATTTCCTATAAGCTTAACCAATATTAAGGGAAAAAAACATATATGCATGAGAGAATTTTTAGGGGGAAGAGAGAGAGAAATAAAGTCAAACTTTCATATTGTTTAGGGACCGATCATTTGCGCCTTCGACCTAAAGTCAGCTAGGTGTACTTTTAGGACCCAAATGGTGGAGACGTAACCTCTTGAACCTAGTGACCAACCAATGGACCCGACCGGACCTAGAACCCGATGGGTAGACCCAACGTCAAGTCTAGGTATGGGTCCAAATTTTGGACCTGAAAGGTCAAGTCCAAGTCCAAAACCTAGACTTGAATACTATTCGGGTCCACGGCCGGATGACCCGTTGCCACCCCTACAACCAACCGTCCAATAAAAAAAACGATCAAATAAAAAACTACAATCAAACAAGCAGTACCATCCCATTTTTTAAGGGTAAGATCTACGAACTCAAAATTCTTCTCTTTCTGAAAATAATCATCTTGATTCAGATTCTAAGATGGATCCCAAAATTTCAACTTTATCCCAAATAGCTCTTTTGCTTGAGGGAGAGAGTCTACAGTACATGCTTCCATAGGAGCATACTATACATATATCAGGTAGAGGAAGAGGAAGAGAAATCGAAGGCCTACTTCATGGGCTATCAATCCAAATGATCTTTTCCCCAAAAGAAAAACCAGGAGTGTAGCTGAAAGATATTCATGTCCAAGTTGTTACTGATTTATAATCTCTCCATAGAGGAAAAGCTCTATTCTTCCCTTGCTTCCAAGAGAGAGAGAGAGAGTCATGAACCTGAACTTAGGGAAAGAGAGTGCTCCTTTAGCAAGGTGAAAAAACATATCTCCACTCAAACTGGTAAATTATCGATCTCCACTCAAACTGGTAAAATATCCATAATATGTAATAGAACTTCACCAGTGTCCTAATATTGTAAATCTGCGTTAAAAAGGCATCACACATCAAACCAGTTTTTAAAAATCAGAATCTTACCATAACTCTCTAAGGTCCGATTCCAAGTAGACCTATTCGACTCGGGCAATTCTCAAGCCAGGTAGGGCTGTATTTCAAAAAGGAATTTAAAAAAGAAAAACAAAAGAAGTTAAACCATGAGAATCGGGGCAATTACAGGGTTTCAAGAACAGAAACACCTAATTATAGGTCCTGATTAGGAATTTTTCAATCAGCAAATCAAACCAATCGACCAAATTCTTTTCATCTAAGAACCAAAGCATGGCATCATATAAATTTTGTGAATTCTGTCAAAAAAGAGACTAGAATAAGTCTCATTCTAATTCATATGCTTAAGACAATACAAATATATGCAGTTTATTGCTACTCTCACATTTGTACTCAGTGTACATCTAAATCCTAAAACTCGCATAATTATTAATCTGATTCTCAATATCTCTCAGATAATTCATGATAAACACACTGAAGATTAACGACAAAAGTAAAATTTTTAAAAATAGATTAAAATAAAAAGCCGGAACTTGAGAGACAAGGGGCCCTTTGTCAAGAATATTTTTTTACCAAGAGTTAAAAGGGGGTCTGGCTGCTAAAAGAAGGGGCTGTCATAACAGAGAGGATATCTGTGACTGAGGACATGGCACTCAAAGCGGCTTTGAGAACATCCTGGGAGCATCCTGGCTTCACAATGCTTTTCACCTGAAAAGAGAGAGAGGTGAGGATAGAGAAAACAGTGCAGTGTTGCCAAGCTGATTACGCATATCGGACTAGAGCATTTGGAAACAAAGAAAATACTGATGGTTCCAAGAAATATTATTCAAAGCAGCAGTACCCGACTAGAGAGACGGTTGTGGTCTCCAAAACCTCTACTTAGGAACACAAAAATGGTGGTATAAAATTTTGAAAACCAATGCTATATTCAACTTTCAATAAATTTCCTAAGAATTAAGGAATGGCCAGTGTGAACACAAGCCAATCCATATTGCACACATCTATGGACGGTGAACGCAAAATGGATGCAAAGTCAACAAATACAAGACATCTATGGTTGCATATAAGTAGGTGCATATGCATAAATGCATGCATTTGATTGGTTGAAAATACCTTGTCGAGATATTCCTGCAACTTTTTAATCCTGCCCATGTAGTCTTGATCCTCAACACACAGGCTAATGGGTTTTGCATCAGAGCCAGGTCCTTCAAACTGAAGAGGTCCAGGGTTTCTATAGATATCATCCGTCAAATAGCTCACTGCATTTTGTCTCAGCAACCTGCAAAAACACGTTTGTTCAATTAATTAGTGAATAGATTCTGCTCATAAATCATAACAATAAAAGGGAAAGCATGCCATAGTCCATTGGACTATGGTACATGGTAACTCCATGGAAGCATCCACTGTGTGTTCCCATCCATAAGGGATGGAGATTAACCAGAGTAGGGCTCACAAAGTGCAGTTCATATCCATCCATCCATTGATTTCAAAAAAAATATCCATCCATCCACTAGGGTAAGGAATGATAAATCAGATTGGAGTACGATATACCATGGTCCACTCGAATGTGGCATCCTCCCCAGGAAAAGGATTGCACAAATTCTAATGAGTTTCAAAATTATATAGTTGAAATCTTGTAGAGTGAAACCATGTATAAGCATCTGGGATTTCATGGATTCTAATTTTGGGAAGTATAGAAGTATCAAACCGACTATGGAAAACAAATAGTCCATCAGTTCATCACCATGCATGGAAATGATGGACGGCGATTGAGAGAGCATGACCCACAAAAATGCTGACAATAACTTAATGATGGGTCCCTCTCTCTCAACCATCTTCCATCATTTCAATGGATATGCTTTCTTCATGGTCCATTTTGAAGTTTTAGGAATGAGAAGACGCACTCATATGCTTTGCCTCTCAAATCTACAGTAGCAGGATGGACAGCAGGTTTTCCAATTGGAATGACCCCAGGACCACGTGCATATCTCCTCACAGTCATCATTGCCTACAAGCAACCAGAGAGAGAAAAGATTAGATGCAGACGAGCATACACAAATATCACAGGGAGAAAGAGGGTGTGTGTGTGTGTGTTATGCACCCAAGCTGAGAGAGAGAGAGCGAGAGAGAAAGGGGGGGAGGAGAGGGAGACGAAAAGAGAGAGAGAGAGCTCATTTTACTTTGAATAATCAGAGCCTTAAATAATTCTCTACATAATTCTCTACATTAAGTAGAAAGGGAGAACCATAAACCTCACCATTAAATAATTCTCTACATAATTCTCTACATTAAGTAGAAAGGGAGAAACATAAACCTCACCGTTATAGGAGCTCCACCACATCGCCACTTGGCGACAGGATTTTTCAAGTTGGTCACAGTTGCCATGTAACCATTCAAGTTAGCAGCAATAAGATGATAGGAGACGTGCCCAAGAACCTGCAGAAGAGACTTCATTTTGTGAGTTCCACAACCAGCCAAAAGAGCAAGTGAACCCCATTGGGATGCAAGATCATACATAGGCATAGTCACAGTCAAACTTTGAAGGCAAAGAACCCCGAGCCTGGTAGCCAAAGAAGTGACAGATTGCATTGAATTTTTTCCCAGTATATGTCCCTTCTTTCTGCAACAAATCCATAAAGAGAGTCAGCTAACCAGTTGTTTCCCGAGATGAAACTTGAGATGAATCGATACCTCTCGCTCTCTCTGTGGTTAAGAAAACCTACCAATCTCTTGTTCATCTCATCCTCCACTAATTGAGCTAAGAGTTTCTCTGTTTCAATCTACATATTTTGAAATCATAAGGCAAGTTAATCATGAATAATCGAAGCACGGATGAAGACTGAGCAGCAAAAAGGTAACATAAACTGCTAATTCCACCTCTACTAACCTGGGATAACTGAGCTGAGTCATCTGATTCAGGATGGAGGAGAAGCTGAAATAATACAACACTGCACACTTTTAAAAGCAGCATTCACTGTAACGCAATAAAGTCCACTTGAAGCTTATTTATTTTTATTAAAAGACATGGAGAAATTATTAAAAGACATGGAGAAATTATCGAACAGGTCCTACAAGGTCTGCATACAATGTGGGCACCCAATCATAGTACCTGGGCCAGTCAGGCTTTCCTTCTACCATTTTACCATTACAGACAGGTAGGAAAGAAAATTTTCCTACATTTTTTTTAAGGGAAAATGCAGTCCAAACAACAGATTGCAGAAGGGAAAAGGACAATGACTGCATTGTACCATATGCCCCTGCTAGGTGAGTGTTCCAAAATTTGGACTATACTTGAATAAGAAAAAAAAAATTGTCCACTATTTCCAAATGCTAGTTAGGGAAAAACAAACTATAGACTTCTGCGGCACCTGCATGTCATATGCAGGGGTCCTGGGCATGTTCTATAGTATTCCTAAGGAAAGGGACATGCCGCAAAACTAGTCCTTTCTTTAACACTTGCTTATTAGACAAAGAATGCAAAATAATCTCAAAAGCTCTAAGTAACAAGTGTGACCTGTTTCCTGATAAAGGGTGGAAGAAACTCGAACAAGGCAGATGCCCAAGGTGAAAGCTGGGAAGACATGCTCTCCACAGAAACACCTTGCTTATGCAAGCCATGAATTTCCTGTCAATCAGAATAAGATAAATCATTGTCAGGAAAAAAAGGATAACTAAGCATGGAACAAAGGAAAAATTCCCTGCTCTAATAGTCCAATAAATTTTACTCTCCCAAAAAGACATCTCATGGTAAAAAACCTGACAAAGAGGCCATTGGTGCTACAGATTCCATACAAACCATATAGTCAAAATCATTTTGGCAACAAGAGCTACCTGCAAGAGTGCGTAGACCTCAGGTATACTTTCTATCAGCCCCTCCGGCAAAAGGATAACCCCGTGATATTTGTCTGAACAAAAGAAATACAAGTAAATCAACACTAGATAAAGATGACCTCTTAACGAGAAATGGCGGGGGCAGGGGGGGGGGGGGGGGGGGGAGAGAGAGAGAGAGAGAGAGAGATGATATTTTCTGACCAGTAGTATCAAGTATATCAGCGACAGATGAAAGACAAGAGAGCAACAATGAAAACTATAGAGAAAGATAGAGGCTTAGTTTTGAAGTAAATAGGTGACATCAGACTTTGTTCTGCTCTGGCTTGAACTGAATCACAAATTTGTATTGTCAAGTCAAAAAGAGTCAGCTTTGATGCAGCAACCTCCTCACCAAGGATGACCTAAGTACAAATAAAGTTAATTTCCATTTTAAAAGATCAATCTAACAAATTTAAAAAAATTTCCAAATTGAGAGAACCAACCATATTGGGGTGCGATTGCAGAGTGCATTCCAGTGCAACATGAGATGCCTTTCTACCCATCAGTCGAATAAAGTAATAATACTGCGAGGAAAAGACCATTGGCGTGCAGTTAGTTCATAAAAGCCCAAAACAACAAACAGAGAGAAACATATGTAAAGTCAACAGAATCAAGTGCATTCAGCATTCTGATAAATGAGAATAAGTGACTCCCCTCCTTCCCTCCCTCCCTCTTTATTATGGGAAAGTTTACCACTACCATATGTAATTGGAGCACGTTACTATTTCACATCTTGCATTAATATGGATGAGTGAGACATCACTTGTCCAAATATTTCACTTCCTTTCTCTGTCTAGTAGACCAGTTAAAATATGTTTCAATCATGCATGTTTAATTTTCTTTCAAAATGTTATTAAAAAAAATCCAAAATACCCTACCCAAATATGATTCACAATTACGGGATGGATAATCTTTGTCTCAGAAAATATGGTGAGGAATCACAAGATTCATCACACATGGTGCAATGACATCAAACTCTTAAAAAGGAAAGTTCAAATATAACCAATCCTTGAGGACACCAGCATGATCTACAAGACAAATGATGCAAAATAAAATATTTCACCTTCTCTGCCGATAGAGCATCCGTGCAAACATTACTAATTAGTTGTGAATTCACCTGGAGACCAGAGAAGAAGAGAGAGATTCAAATAACCTACCTTATGGAGTGCAGGCACTGATACACAACAATTAAAAAAAAATTTCCAACAAGATAAGAAACACTTACTCAAAATAAGGTTTCTTTTTTTCACCATCTTTCTTTTCTTTTCTTTTTTGGTATCAGTACTATAGTTTACTCTAAATACGACACTACGTGCATAATTTTAAAATTAATCCATAATCATTGCCAACCAAATATTTTATATCTGAAACTGGAGAGCTGCATTCTAAATAAGCTGAAAAATGGAAAGAAGAATATACATATAAGGAGATATATAACTGGTAGCGCATCCACACAGATCAATAAATAATTTTTAGGTCAAAGCATCTGATCATACGGTACGCATGGAATCACATGGCTCAGAAGTAAAAATAGATTCCTGCTTCACAATCACAAAGTCCAATAGAAGAAGATAAACCAAACAACTAAAGTATCAGGTTCGTTGAAGCTCAAGTTCATAACCTTCAATGCACTAGATTAACTAAATGTATCCACAATTTTCAGTAGCAAATTATTGCAAAAGCAAGATTAAAACAAAAGGTCAATCTGAGGATCATTTGGGTTAGAAACAGCCATTTGCAATTTTTGCATAAAGATCCATGACATGCTTATCTTATCTAATGTATTTTGTCCAAATGCTCGTTTGCTTGGTCAATATCTTAAAATGTACCTGCAAGAACCACATAGTTCAACCATACATAAGGCGACCACAGGATGTCAATTGAAAAACACGAAGCTAATGTATAAGGAGTCCACAATCCCCAATGATCAACGAAACAGATAATATTGAATTCATGCATATGCCTCTAAAGTACAAGAGACGAAATCAGACAGGTCACAATACCTTGCATATGGTATCAAAACCAACATCTGTTTCAACAAACTGGTTCTTTAGATCGCCATTTAAAGTAACAGGCACTCCTACAACCTGCAAGAACCCACTAGCAAAGTTAACAGCCAATAGATGAAATAATTTCACAAATATTTACAAACAGCACAGAATACTCATGTGCGCATGTAAGCCTCCACGTGTCTCTCCACATGTGTGCTTCTTTGAGTGTGTCTGTATGTGTGTGTCCATGTCTATGTGTCCTAAAAGATGGCAGGATTGACTTTTTGCAGGGTTCAACTAGTAGTCCAGACTCAACATTCTTCAGTTCCAAAAGCCCATTAAATTATTACCATAAACTTATTTCATCTTCTTACAACTAACCCGAAGAGAGAGGGGGGGAGGGGGGGAGGCTTTCAGCTTCCACACATGCAAAATACCTTTGTTGGGCACTTTTTCTCTGCAAAAGTCTCAGCAAGTTGTGCCGCATCGGTATTGGATGTGACGCCTTCAAGAAACTCATCAAATGTAAGTATTTTTGGCTGTGTAAGGATCGTTAATAAACTACTTATGCCGAGTACAATCCTACCTCCAATTATGACAAGGGCGTCCAACTTCAAAGCCTGGCATGCAGCCAATGCAGCATTTACTTGCTCGGTTGTTCTTATCTGATCTTTTGATCGACCAAGCATATCATAACCACCTTCACACAAAAAACTCTAATCATAAATAACAAATTTCATCCTAAGGTTCTTGATAGAACTACCAGACAGCTCCCTAATAATATTTCCCCTGATTTGCCCAAAAAAGATTATAACAGCAGGGTGTTATATAATACCCCTAATCTTTTCTTTATATATATGGATAGCACAAATTTATTTATATTAGAAACTTAATATACATTTTCTGTAATAGATAAAAGGCCATTTACCATATAGAATTTTAAATCCTTCTACCCAATAAGTTGAAAGTGGGTCAATTTAGCTGAACAAGCAATGAAAGAAAGGATTCCCCCTGAATAATCAGTAATGTGACAACGAAAGATATTTTGAGAACTGGGCAAACAGCACCAGACCATGTCTACATGCGCCTTTCATGTCTAAGCACATAGCATGTCCATTGCCACGTACATATTATGCCTTTCAACTATAGAGATTTCCAGTGTAATGTTTTCCCTATTTTTGTATCAAAGCTGACTGAATCTAGTATTTTTAACAAGTTCAAGCTATACAATATTGACTCATAACATCATGAATAAAGATTCAGCATCATGAAAAAGCGACTCATTAGAATGATACCTTGATTTTTATATGTTGAGAGAACCTTCTCCGTGACTTCCAAGGTTTGCAGTGCAAATAAACCATCGGTGCCCCCTGTAGATTAAAATTCCAAGAGTAACAGTTCAAATAAAAAATCGTAAGAAATAATAATGTGAATATGTGATATCATGATGCATGCGCTCATCAGGGGAATTTTTTAATTCTCTTTTTTAATTTGTTAGTCAACGAAGCAATTATTTAAAAGGAAATGATAAAAATAATAATACAACTACAAAATATTAGAACCAAAAAAAATATTAATAAACTTTATCCTTAAGCTGGCATTGAGACCACATGCTTGATATCTTTTTCTTATATAATTAAATGCCAATATTTAAGAGAATACTACATGCATGCATATAGTGCATGAATACATGAATATCTACACATATACTAGCTAATGGAACATGTGTTGCACGATGCTGCAGTTGAGAAATTAGATGAAAATGATTTTGTTAGTAGCTAAGTGAAATGAAAGACGTATTTTCTTTTCAAGTCATTCAATATTAGAGGGCCTGAGAATCCAAAAATGAAGATTTCCAGACATGTATATCAACATGGATTTCCAGTATCTGTAGTGTGTCAGATACTCCTTACAACACATGATATGCATGTATGTGTGTGAGAATGTGACGTGCATGTATGTGGATTTTTTATGATTTTTATTAGGACTTACCAACAAATCCCAGTAAAGTGCTATTTGGATTGTGGCATTTAATGGCATCATAAAGGCCCCAAATAACATTATGCCCCCCTGGAGATTGCCTCCCACTGAATACGACTCCAACCCTGAGATTTCCATAGGGATTATTCAGTAAAAGCACTTTTTAATCCAGAAATATGCATAAAGGCTTTACAAAACCAACAAACACGAAAAAGCAGAGTACAGCAAAAAATGGCATATCATAACTCAAGCACATGTCAGGTATATGGAACATAAGACAAGCCACAGAAGCCTGCCATGGCTCCAAATCTGCGATGAACAGTAGTTTGGAGGAAGAACTATATCAGATGATGCATATCATTATTACAGGCAAATAAGTTTCCACCACTAAAAACAAATAATGGACTGTAGGATTAGGAGGCTAATTCACAGTCATGTTAAACAATGAAATAAAAGAATCAACAAGCACCATACGAATAAAACAAAAGACTATCTGCACTAACCCATTATAATATACAAAATCCACCTAGGCTTTCATTCCTTTGACCAACAATGGAACATGAATAAGTTTCTGCAATGTGAAATTGGGAGCTGGTACTAACAATAGATCCAACCTTGACATCCAACTCAAAACAGTATTCTAGTTGTAAGAAACTCAAACATGAACATAATGCAGCCATGAAATATGTGACTAGTTACCCTCTAAATCTAAATGGTACAAACTTCTAACGACCCAATCAGTTAGATAAAAACAAGCACTGAGTGATTAACCTTTGCCATACAACCTTCTAAATCCAAATGGCACAAACTTCTAATGTCCCAATCAGTCAGATAAAAATAAGCAGTGAGTGATTAACCTTTGCCATACACAGACTTAAGGAACAAATTCTTAGGTACATGCAAAATCATTGAAGATGGCAGCCAGTCATTTTACATGAAATGAATATTTAAGGATTAATCATGATATCTTATGGACCTCAAAATATTCTAGATGAACCAAGTAAATAACAACCTGATGGAGGAAATACTATACCCCTAGTTTACTTTATATCCTGCTCCTAGAAAGGAGATAATAACAAAAGGATTCAGATTGCAGCCTTTGTATGGCACCAACTAGCTTTACCAGCCAAAAGCAAAACTAACTTAAATAAATCAAGGATCAACATTATTGAAGAAAAACGGATTGAGAAAATAAAATTGCCCAACTATCATACATTGTCTAAAAAAGAAACGAAAATGACAAGGATAAGCCCAAGGCAAATCCATGGATCAAAAGAAAGAAAAGGTTTTCACAAGCCACTTGCTTTGTGCATAACTAACATTCACAAAACATGAAAGGACATCAAGTTGCACCCAAGGTCACAAACATAACCACATGGAAACACTCAGATAAGTTGTAGAACACCACCATTAAACCTGCAATGAATAAGGGCTACATGCAATTAGAAAACTGAGAAAATATCCTGCTTTTTGAAACTAGAATACATTTCAGTAAGAAGCTATTTTAAACTTCCCAGGACATAAGAAATATACATAAACAATGCTGGATTGGTCTTGGATCAAACTTTGTTTCCTTTCTTTAAAGATCTTTTTTAAATATATTTAAGTTAAACTAATCATTCAATAAACAAGCCTTCAAAAAAAAAGGAAGGCATTCTCTACACAAATCCCTCATTAGAGTAACAAGAAGACCCAACACAATTAACACCGGTTAATACATGTGTACCTGATCACTGGATGCTCTTGTATGATTTTTGCATCAGGAACCTGGGCAGTTGCTCTCAAAAAGTGAACCAGAGGCTGCCCATATGTGAGGGGAAACGAGCGGCTGATGGTGTGAGCATCAGAGGCATCTGCAGTAGTAGTGCCATCACCAAATTCCACTCTCACAGTAGTTCCCTGTTCATGAAACATAAATTAGATTTCCCTCCTGCTAAAGCAATCTATACCCATACCACTCAAACACAATATGCATACAAGAAAAAAAATATCTATACAGAGCATGATTGAGGTGTTCATCCTCTTTTTCTTGTCCATCCCAGAAAAAGAGGGGAGGAGGTGGTGGTATTGGGGACAAAGTTCTGAATCATAAGTTAGAATTATCCAAAGAAAAAAAAGGCACCAGAATCATGAACTCTGCCAGTACCATATTTGCATTGAGAAGGTGAGCAATAAATTTTCTTTCGAATGTCAAATCCGTGGTTGGCATTTGTCATCAAAAACTATCTAGAAAGTAAAATGAGTAATAAAAAGGACAAAGCACTACTATATGGCCAGCAAAAGTAGATACATAGAAGTGAAAACTTGATGGTTTCTAACTTTTCCATTTTTATCAATCATGTCTGCATGTTATGAAACAAAAGAAAAAAAAATCATGTGTGCGTGTGTATATATATAATACATAGAGAGAGAGAGAGAGAGAGAGATTGGAATCCTGTAGAGTGCATGTTCTCGGTTCCAACAGAACTACATAGGTTCAAGGGTACAATAAAACGAAAAGGAATTTCTTTTATAATTCAGAAACCAGACCTTGAGGAAAAAAAATTATGTTACCGTCGAAATCATTCCATCTCATCACTCACCATTCTAAAACAACCAAAAATTTTGTTGACATACAGTTCCTTAGCAAAATATCCACTCCAATTATGAGAACATTCCATGTTTCCATACTCTCACCAGAACAATGCCTGCCTGTTTCTATCTAGATTCTAGAAAAACACATTTTACTCATAACTGTCATAAGGAAAAATAATAACACTACATAGTCCTTGAAAACAGAGTCAAAGGACTTAGTGAGTCTGACTCTATCTTGCCCGAGTGACTTGGGCTCTACAGGTACAACTCCAGAACCAAACACATCGGAACAGGCCAAGACTGGCCGGTTCCCAATATTTCTGTTTTCTTTTTCTTTTTTTTTTCTTTTTTTTTCTTTTTTTTCTTTTTTTTTTTGGTCAGAGTCTATCAGATCTGACTTAGGCTCTGGCCCCTTGCTCATCCCAACCCGACGAGTTTGAGTAATGCAACACTGTTTGAAAGTAAACCATGACATGCATGATCCAAAAGGATCAGATACACAAAAACATTCAAAATATGTGCAAATGACTGAGCCGGAGTATATAGTAGATACATGAAAGAAAATTAAATAAGATTGAATCTCTTTCATATACTATAAACTTTAGATTAAAATGCAGCTTCTTTTGCGAACAGGTAACGCTTAGATGCAAACCAGGGTTAAAAAACTAGGAATCAGGTCGGGACTCGCTATAATCCCAAACCCAAGTTATGTCTGATCCAAACAATAATAATAATAAATATCGGGAACAAGCCAGACTCGGCTGATTCCCATTTGTTCGTTCTGGACATTGCAAGCCTGCCGAGACAGAGTAACTGGGGCAATTCCGAGCCAGATTCTCATAGTTTTCCAAAACTGATACAAAGTTGCAAACTATAGAAGATATAAACAAGTGAAGTAAATGAATGTAATCTGAACAAAAATGGCAAAAGGTATGATTTTAAATACATGGAATTACAGAGATCTTTTGCATGGAACTAGAGAAGAGTGTCAATAAGGAGATCTCCATGAATATCAATAGAAAAAATTAATCATGGCAAAAAGCAAGATTTATTAATAATGAAACAAAGATAGTTTTCTTTTTGACATATACCAAAGGAAAGAGATAGAACAAGAGAGAAAACCCAAAAAATATGAATTCCATACATGAAAAGACGAGAGTCCAGAGTTTTACTCCCAGAGAGAGAGAGAGGAGTTTCTTTTTACGTAGACAGAGAAAGAGGAGTTTTTAAAAAAATTAGAGGGAGAGAGAGAGAGGAGTTTTTACTTTTTTTGTTTTTTTTTGTTTTTAAGAAATGATTAACTGAGTTTTTACTTATACATTAAAGTTTGTAGAATTTACGCACTGAAATAGAAAAACAACAGAGAGATGGAGAGGTAGAGAGAGATGCTCAGGAGCATGGAAAATACATGGATCTCTGAACAAATAAGAGAAACAGAGATAGTAGAGATAGATTTTAGAAAGAGGGAGAGTATAGAGAGATTTTCGTTTTGAGGGAGAAAAAGAGAGAGGAGTTTTTACTTTTACATGAAAGTTTGTAGAATTTACGCACGGGAAAGAGAAAAACAATAAAACGATGGAGAGGTAGAGAGAATAGAGAAAGAGTGCGAGAGAGAGGCTCAGGAACATGGAAAATACATGGATCTCTGAACAAATACGAGAAAGAAAGATAGTAGAGAGAGATTATAGAAAGGGAAAGTATATAAAGAGATTTTAGATAGAGAGAGAGAGAGGGGGAGGACCTGAAGGCAAGGGGGCGGAACTGGTTGGTAGAGAGTGCGCTCCTTTTGCAGATCTGAGAGCTCTCTGGGAATACCAAAATCCATTGTTTTCTAACTCTGTTGCTTTTCCCTCGCTCGAGTTTCTTGGTTTTGTCTCTGCACCAAAACAAAGAGGCCTCTCTCTTTATATACACTGTTGACTGACCTACCGCAATTTAGAGAGATAAAGAGTTGTAGAGAGAGAAAGAGTTGTGGTCGGTCTTACAGAGAGAAACAGTTGTAGAGAGAGAAAGAGAAAGGGAAGGGCGCAGTTGGGAGGAAAGGTAGAGGGTGATGTACAGAGGAAGGAGAAATATGCCTAGGGAAAGACATAGAGAATATACGTAAAGAGAGAATTTTGGTTTGGAGGGAGAATAAGTTGTAGAGAGAGAAACCGTTGTGAAAGGGCCAGTTAGAGAGAGAGGGTTGTGAGAGGACGTAGTAAGGGGAGAGAGATCCAAGGGACAGTGGGGGGGGGGGGTTATATAAAAAAATTTTAGAGAGAGAAATATGTAGAAAGAGAGTAGAGAGAGAAAGTTGTAGAGAGCGAAATATGTAGAAAGAGAGAGTAGAGAGAGAAAGTTTGAGAGAGATAGAGAGTAAAGAGAAAGTTTTAGAGAGAGAGCGAAGGGTTGTTGGGTTGGTTGAGATGGGGTAGTCAGGTGAGAGATATATAAGGAGCAAAGGGGAAAGAACAATTTAGAGAGAGAAAGATGCAGAGGGAAAGGCCAGAGTGGAGAGAGAATTGTAGAGAGAAAAAACTGTGGACAGAGAAGAGTGGTTTGGTGATTGGCCCACGGACTCACCAGACACTCAAAGTGAACTTACCAGCCCACCCAACCGAGCCTGCCTTCTCGCTTCGGCTTATGAAGTAGGCTCAGCCGCTACGGACTTTGTATTGTGCTTCATATAACGTCATCGCATGATCGTAGCACCGGTTATAACGGTAACATCCCTTGTTTCTTACTGTTTTAAATAACAGTTATAGTTATAATGGTGACATCGCTTGCTTCTCATGGTTTCAAGTAACGGACATCATTCAAAATGATGGCCGTTGTCATTGTAATGAATTAAGTTTTTGCTAGTGTCTTTTACAAGGGTGTAGTTTGTATAACGTGTCAACCTTTTTTTTTTCTAACTGACGTTTTTTACTTTATTAAAAATATCTACTCAAAGGAAATTCCACATCGGGAAAGACTAGCATCACCCATGTCACCCATTTTTTCAAAATCTTTTATTTTTCTTAGAGACATTGCCTAGTTCAACTCAGACTCACCTAAGTCAAACTAACTGTAGAAACGAAAAGCAATCCACGAACACAAGAAAGAAGAAACAAATACAAAAAAAAGAGACAACCAACTACAACACAAAGATATACGTGGTTCGACAACGTGCCTATGTCTACGGGAGCTTAGAGCTTCTTTGAAAATAGGTTTACAATTCGCTCTCTTCCTCACGCCTCTTTGTTTTTATTTAATTACAAAAAGATTTGTGTTTTTCCCTTAACCTTTAACTTTTGAATGAACCCTCAATCGCAACGATATATATCGAGTCTCAAATATATAATACAAATTACCAAAATACCCCCTATGTGAATATATATATATATATATATATATATATATATATATATATATAGTACTACCTATATATACTACTACTACTATATAGTAACGTATACTACTACGTACGTACGTACGTACGTATACTTACTTTACTTAACTAACGTAACTA